GCTTTTTGGGAAAGTGAAGAAAAGGTCCAAAACTAAGGGGGGGGGGGTGGATCAGCTGTGCGTGCAGCAGCCAAAGCAGCAGCTCTGAGAGCCTGTGCAGTCACAGGCTGCTGAGGACATGATGTCCATGTTGAGGACTCAGCCCCACAGGTGGTTGCACAGTGACCTGCTGGGTGTGAAGGCATGACCTTTGAGGGAAGTGTCCAATCCCCACAGCCTCCAGTCTCTCCCTGCAGATGCTGCTGCTGTGGACAACAGAGCTCCAGAGGACTGGCAGGATCTTGAGAGCTTTGTCTACAAGCTCTTGGAGATCCTCTGTCTGGCCACTTGGCACCTGCCCCACTTCCTGCTCCTAGAGAAGGATCTCTTTCAAAGAGAGGTCCTGTCCCTCACCTCCCCTTACCATAAGGTGCAGAGCTTCACCTGGGAGCCCCTGATGCTTCCTCCACTTCCATTTTGGCCTCTCTGTATGCATCAACAGCTGGCAGGCAGACCCCTGCACCCACGCCCTCCTTCAGCTCCCTGCCAAGGATGGCTGCTACTGGGACACAGCCTACTTTGACATCCTGCTCAACCAGGTAACTGGGACCAGAGACCCATGGGCTGCTCTCACAAGGCAGAGAGCAGCAGCACCAGAAACCTCCTGTGCTGAGCAGCTTAGAATGTGATGGAATTTGCCCCACAGAGCTGTCCAGATCCTGGTAGCTGCTGGCATGTGCTGCCCAACTCTGCTGTGGAGGCTGTGGGCTCAAGCAGAGCAGGGAGCCCTTTCTCCCCCTGACTCTGCTTAGTTCCAGGTGTACCTGAGCCAGGATGGTGCTCACTGCTCAACAACATCCGTGCTCCACTCTAAGATCCAGCAAGAAGTCCAGTTCCCAGTAGAACTGAGCAGGACCCTGCTGCCACCACATCCATGTATGTCAAAACTCAGGGTGGGTGCAAGTTGAGCTGCAGGGCCAGGGAGCAGCACACTGCCAGAGCACTTTATTGAGGGAGGGTGGTACTGAGGCTCCAGCTGGGACTGCCATGTGTGGACTCTCAGCTCCTCTGGGAGAGCTAGGTCCTGGGGTGGGTATTGAATCCCAGGGTATCTAATCCAGGATGGATGGCTGGCATCCTGTGTTGCTGGACTCTGGTGCAGGGGCAACTGAGAGTGATGGGAGGGCAAGGGACCCGTGGTTGGATCCTGTATCCAGCCCCTGTGCCAGCTTGCACTGGGGCTGCTGTGCCGTGGGGCCAGGGGAAGGGGGGGAGCTGGGGGAGGAGACCACCAGGGCGAGGAGCGACCCTGCGTGGGGCACCGGGAGAAGGGGTTTTGAGCCACGTCCTGAGTTGCCAAGCGGCCCCCCTCACCTCCACACCCCCTGCTCTTCCAGCTTCTCCTTCGCTCCCTGGCTTGTGTGTTGCAGCGCTGCCTGACCGCATCCCAGAGACGCAGCCGTGCCCCCGTTCCCGCCGTCCTGCCGGCACGCAGGGCAGTCCCGCACCGCCTTGCCCGGCCCCCTCGCTGCCCAGGGTCACATCCTGCTGCGGTGGCAGCGCCCCAGGGCCTCCCGCAGGGCACCCAGCACACGCTCCACGTTGCTCCTGGTCGAGTTGCAGCCCATGAGGCCGATGCGCAGGACCTGGGAGGAGAAGGGCCAGCATCTCCCTGTAGCACCCACCTTTCTAGCCGTGCCCGGGTGCTGTCTCCCTGCCAGCAGAGCTGCTGGCTGCGGGGCACCGGCTCCCACGTGGAGCAGGGAGCAGGTGAGGAGTGGCCGGGCACACATTGTCTGAAGGCATCTCATACCCTGCTAGTGATGTGCACGGTTGTCCAATGATGGGCAGCGATTGTGGGTGGGTGGGAACCACCATGCACTGCTGCAGGGGGTGGGATGCACCCCGCTGTGTGTGTGCTGTCTGCAGCCACAGAGCACCGGTTAGTGTGGGCAGTGGGAGGGGAGGACACTGCCCACCTTGCCCGCTGTGGGGCCCAGGCCCCCAGCAATCTCGATGGCACAGGTGTCCATGAGAAAGGCTGTGATCTCCTTCCAGTCATAGCCCTCAGGCACCTTGACAGTGGTAATGGTGGGAAGTCTTGCCTTCTGTGGAAGAGAGATATGGGATTGAACCTGCAGTTCCTGGCTGTGGTTCTCCTGGAAGCCCAGCAGCCTGCCATGAGAGACCATTGCTGGGGGGAGGGGGGAAGCTTTTTTGCCAGCATCAAAAGCTGTCCAGGCAAATCTCCAGCTGCACGATGGGTGGTGGGATCACCCTGCACCCACCTCCTCCTTCACAAAGAGCTCAAGACCCAGGTCACGCAGCCCCTGGCACAGCTGGGCACAGTGTTCTTGGTGCCGCTCCCATGACCTCTCCAGACCCTGTGGGCAGAGAGGAGGGGGAAGGTCCTGGCACCCACCAGTCCCCCAAACCCCAGCAGCACTGCTGGTGCCCCCTGCCTGCCTGGCGTGGCTCACCATCTCGGCCAGCAGGGACAAGCCTTCCCGCAGGCTGAAGAGGCTGTTGATTGGTGCCGTGTGATGGTACCTGCAAAACCCAAGGGGCATCCAGGTGAGTTCCAGCCTTGCCTGCAGCAGAGCAGTTCTCCAGCTGGCTGGGGTAGGGGGGGAACTGGGGTGCAGTGTCCTCCCTACACTTCACCCAGCACAGAAGGGATGGAAATACCCCTGGGTCCCTTTGTGGGGAGGGAGGGCTCGAGTTCTGCAGGGGACACAGCCCCCAAGCTGGGGTGAAGGCTGTGGTTGAGATGGCTGTGGCCACCCATCCCAGGACAGCCTGTTCTCACCTTCGTGGCTCCCCATCACAGCCCCAGTAGTTTGCTAGCCAGGCCATGTCCAGGTAGAAGGACTGGGGCTTCATCTTCCTCCTCAGCATCTTCTCCCTGGTGAAGCAGAGTGCTGGGGAGGAGCTGGACCTTAACCCCCTGGGCTGGGTTGGTTTGGAGCAGTTTTGGTAACAGGAGAGAGGCCTCAGGGATCGCTCCTGTTAGAAGCTTCCAGAAGGTCCCCTGGCTCCAGAAATTCAGCCCCACCTCTGGCTAAGGTGGAGCCCTTCAGAGACAATGGATGCACCTCTGCAATTAATGTCTTCCAGAAGGGGAAATCAACTGATATAAAAACTCAGGGCAGAGAAGAGGTGGGTGTGAGAGCAACTCCTGAGCAGGGATACCAGGGTGGTGAGGAAGGAGGGGAGGAGGTACCCCATGTTGGAGCAGGGGAAAAATGTGAGGAATTCTTCTCCTGGAGGAGGAAGTGGTGGCAAAAAACAGTGTGTGATGGACTGACTATAAACCCCACTCCCTGTCCCCCTGAGCCCCAGGGAGGAGGAATTAGAGAAGTCAGGAATAAAGTACTATGGGCCTGGGAAGAAGGGAGGGGTGGGGTGAGGGATTTAAGCTCTGGGTTTTTTTTGTTTGTTTGTTTTGGCCCTCCCCCAAAGCAAGTGCAACTGGAACTGCAGCAGAGCTGCTGCTGGGTGTGCTCTCCAGGGCAGGGCTGGAGCCATGACTGGCAGAGCAGAGTGGGGATGACCTCCCCCAGCCCCATCACCTGTCCCCTCGGTGGAAGGGGCTGCCCTTACCTGGCTCGCTGGCTGAAGGAGATGGGAGCACTGCCAGGGGGCACGTTGAGGACCTTCTGAGACCCTGTGTACAGGACGTCGATCTCTGCCCAAGAAAGGAGGCAGCTCCTTAGGGACCAGGGGCTCCCAGCAGGGACATGCTGAGCCCACCCAACACGGCTGCAAATGCTCGGTGGGAAGCACAGGGTGGCACAAGCTGCAGGTCCTGCTTGTGTTTGGCCTGCTTTGGGGGACACCCTGGCACTGCTGTTGGTGTCCTGAGAGGAACAGGCTCTCTAGCTGCAGCTGGACCAGTTTCTATTGCTGCTAGCCCAAAATGTGGGTGGTGGGGCTGATCTCACTGCTCTCACTGCCTGCTCCAGGTGTGAGACCCTCATCCCCTGGGTGCCCATGATGGGCACTGTGGCTCTTACCCTGCTGGTCCATGAAGATGGGGGCTCCCCCAAGGGATGCCACTGCGTCCACAAGCAGCAGGCAGCCATACCTGTGGGCAAACAGAGCTCAGTCCCTGGCATCTCCTCTTGCCACCCGTCTGCCTGCAGCCCTGGTATCCCTGTCCCCCCGAGGCTGTGTCTCACTGGAGCCAACTGCTTCCAGCACAACAGAGCCAGAGGAGAGCCCAGGGCAGGTAAATCCCCATGCCCCATTCCCTGGCAGTGACCTTGGAGTGCCACCAGCCCCCAGAAGTGCCTGCTGTGCACTGACCGGTGGCACAGCTGGCCCAGCCCCTCCAGTGGCTGCAGCACCCCTGTGGAGGACTCGCCATGGGTGATGAAGAGCACCAAGGGCTTGTGCTGTGCCAGGCCCTGCGTGAGACAGAGGGGACAGTGACCACCCCTGAGGGTGGCTCGTGCCCACCACCCCACACTGTGCCAGGCACTCACCTCCTCAATGTCCTCTGGAGTGAAGTACTCACCCGGGGGCTTCAGCAGCTCATGAACATCAGCTCCTGGGAGGGATGTTGACAGAGGTAAGGTTTGGGCATGCCTCCCATTGGGCAGCCACCTGCTCCTCAGGGGAATTGGTCATGCATGAACCAGGAGTGTGGACACCCACCAGGGTCCAGCCACCCATGGATTTGCCCAGTGGAAAAGACATAAACCACCGTAAGCAGAGGGACATCACCCTGGAAAAAAACCTGGAGGGCTCTCCAGCTGCAGAAGCCATGTCACTGGCCACCACTGCTGGGATGGGGACAGCAAGCCAGGGGTCACACTCCAGCATCCTGCCTGCCAGCCCAGCCCCTCGAGCCCTGCTGGTGCCATCCAGCTGCCCCCAGCATACCCAGCCTCCTGCCAATCTCGGCAGCCCGTTGTCCCCAGATGCCGTTGACGGCCACCAGGGCGCTGTCCCCGTGCTCCAGCAGGTTGAGGAGAGCAGCCTCCATGGCGCAGTGGCCGGTGCCGCTGATGGCCAGGGTGAGCTGGTTCCACGTCTGGAAGGCGTACTGGATCCCTGCCTTGATCTCATCCATCACCTGTGGCAGCAGGGCACCCACTGGCACCACGGTTGCCCCCCTCCCCCCAGCAGAGCTGTCCCAGCCCCTCCTGGGGAGTGCTAGGGAGAGGAGGGGCGGAGGTCGGGGCTGGGCCAGCTCCCCTGCAGCACCTCGGGGTGCATGTGGCCCAGGAGCTGCCGGCCACTCGCTGCCAGGACGCGGGTGGGAACGTTGCTGGGCCCTGGCCCAAGCAGCAGCCTCTCTGGCACAGCCAGGGGTCGGAGCAGCCCCTGGGGTGGAGGGACATGGAGCAGGCTGGACATGGTGTGCCTTGTTATCCCCAGGAGCCGAGCCCGGAGGAGAGGAGCAGCGGAGGCTGCTTGTGCAGCACCCAGCACTGCAGCACAGTGCATCCTGTGCCAGCAGTGACCAGCTTCCCTGTGGACCCTGACCCCAGGGCTCAGGGCTCCCCCACCAGCCTGGACTCTGCCCCTAGCCAACTTCTTGTCCAGTTAATGTGTCACCACCACCCTCCCTACTGCCTCAGCCCCCTCATTTTGGGGATCCCCCCTTGCTAGTGCTAACTGGGGTTTTGCTCCCCAGACATGACAGCCTGTAGGACTTGCAAGCACCCACACAGTCCCTGTCCCCACAGCCCCCAGGACACTGTGGCTGATGGTTCCCATCACCATCCCAACAGGTGGAACTCCTGCTTCTGGATATGAAGCTCCCATGCCATGGGATTGTTGTGCTGGGACTGGCCCAGCACAGCCGCAACAGTCATCATTTCTTGAACAGCACAAACCTCTGTCAGACAGGTCTCCCTGGCCAAGGACCTGCCTTGCAGAAGGACACTTGGCCAAGTGACAGGTCCAGGAGTGGATCCCTGGCCAGAGGAGCTACTCAGTCAGCAAAGCTCTGGGCTGGTGATGGCGATTATAGGGTTGGTGCTGAAGGAATTGAGGGCAGGCCCATGGGGCTGGTGTGGTGCCAGGCAGGAGCACTTGTGCCCAGGCAGGTGATGCTCATCTCTGAGAGGAGCTGGGAGCTGCTGTGGATGACACCACATGATGGAAAGAAACCACAGTTAATCTGGGGACTGCTGCCCAGTCATCATCTACTGAAGTGAGGACCAGGTCCTGAGAGGTCTCACAGCCCCTCCTGCTGTGTCCCAGCTGTGTGTTCCTCTGCCTGAAGGACTCTCAGCTGTCGGGATTGCTCCTGGATGCTCACAGCATGGCTGAAACACTCAGTTTCTAAAACATTGGCAGGAGAGACTCACTGGGACCCACTGGTGGTGGGTAGGCAGAGACCCCTCTGCTGCCCGCCCTCCAGGGAAGCTCGAGGAAGGGCTGGGCGGGGAGGGGGGGTGTGTCTTCCCGGCTGGCGTGGCAGGCTGAGGGAGGATGCGCTGCTGGAAGCAGCTGGCGGCAAAGGCGTAATCTTCTTTCTGCTCTGGGTCCAAATTCCCTCCCCGCAGATGGACAGGGAGCCAGCTGTGCCCACTGCGGGGGCTCATCGGCCCGGAGGGATGAAGCAGCTCTGCACTGGAGCTGGAGCCTGGATGCCTGGATGCTGGGCCCTGCGGGAAGCCCCGGAGGGGGCCGCTCTCCCCCCCC